GCGGAAGAGAAAGAACAAAATACACGTTTTGTTTTCTATAAGGGTTGAACAGCAAAAATAAAAAAATTTTTTGGGGAGCGATAATGACGATGACACAGACACAAAATCGATGAATTTCTTTTACTCTTCCACGCTCTCAGTTTACTGTAGCCTCAAGATTCCACATTTTTCACACGTTATTTCTTCGCTGCAACCAATTTGCCCGGTTCTTCATCAAATTTTTTTACTCATTTAACCAACAGGAGAAGTATAAACTCATGGACATGAGATGGACAAGTAGAAAGATGATAATGAAAATAACGCTCCATTTTTCTGATAATTATCCATAGTTGTGTTAATTAATTTGCTAGTAAAGGCAGTGTTTATAATAGCAGTAATAAGAATGCTGATTAGGATGATGCTCAGTAGAAGTAATGGCAGCTCTAAAATTGACTAATGTAGCCTAACAAAACATCATGTTATGTCCGTCAAAAATTCTTTACACTTTTTTTTGTTGAAGAAGAAATAAGCAAGATTTTTACAGGTTGATAACGCTGTCAAACAAAATAACATCAAATGATTTTAAAAATCATCATCAAAAGACATATTTTGGGCTGACAGCTTAAGAACAAAATATTCCGATTAAGTGTAGTTAAAGATTTCAATTATTTGAGAAGAAGCATATGTTTAACAAATATTATATAATTTCTTTTTTTTTTTATTTGTTGTTTAGTTATCTCTACTTCTTTTTTTTTTTATTTAAACTGCTTTTATTTGACTTGCTATGAATCGTACACTGATGCGGTTATAATGAACATGATGATATTGCTAAAGTTGAAGACAAACTGTACTTGTGCAGTTCTATAATGTGTTTACCGTTAGTGAAGAATAACAGACTTAATGAGCACAGTTTAGTAACAGAAGCCGATAAACTAACTGTAGGTGATGAAGAAACAAAAATGTATGTACGGAGTGGGTTTTTTTTCTGACCGATAGTTTATTCATCGCAAAAATATTGTTTGATGAAGTTATTCAACTCAGCTGTTCTATTGATTCGTATGTTTCTTGTTGTTGCGGTCTGTAATAAGTCGACAAATATCTATCTATGTGTGTAAAACTAACGTAGGTGAAAATGGAAGAAATTAATGGTAAGTCAATGTTGAGGCGGAGTTTTAAGGAAAATTTGCTTTCTGAAAAACATTTCTTGTTTTTAATTTTTTCTAACCATAATAACTCATCGTTGTATTTCGGTCTCAAAAAATTTTTGCCTGGCAAATGGAGTGTATTTGGAGTACCGTGAAGACCCTCTTTGGTTTGCTTTACGTTCAAATTGTTTTGTTTTTTTTTTTTTTTTTTTTTTTTTTTTTTTT